TATCAGTATTTGTTGTTTGACTCGGAACTTTTTTTTTTTTTAATATGTTCTGTTTTAAAGTTAGACTGTCTTTATCAGATATTTATAATAAGTATAGTTTAGGATTTCATTGACTTTAATGTGGTGTTCAGATTCAATAAAAGCATTCCTAGACTGCTGCAGTTATAAGAAAAGCAACAGCATTAAATAAATGTTCAGTTTTCCTATTTTAACAGTTGCTTTCCTGAATTTCTGGTGTTCATAACTGTAAATTCTATACAATCTAAGAATGCTATAAAATATCGGTAGTGAGGATTTTATTACTGTTTTTAATAATATCTGTAAGGTAGGTATATTTATGTGTGTAAGATGAGTGGGTTGTTTTTTTCTTAGTGTCGTAGGTAGGGAAAAGGACAAAATAAGTATGGCAGGGTCATATGTGTGTAAGATGAGTGGGTTGTTTTTTTTCTTAGTGTTGTAGGTAGGGAAAAGGACGAAATAAGTATGGCAGGGTCACTGTTAGTTTCTTTTATCTTCTTATATGGGAAAACCAGAAAGTTATACATGGAATAACAATCTGGCAATAATCATAAATATTAAATAATCACAAAGAGAAAATAAAGTGGTGTGAAGACAAACACTCACCACCTCCCACAAACAGGCTGATGCCCAGTCAGCCTCTGAGCAGTGACCACCTTGAAAGACAATCCCCCCTCCTGCCCCCAACTTGTTCCTCTGCCACTACTTTTTATTGCTGAGCTTGAAGTAAATCAAATCATGCCAAAATGAAAATCTGATTGTTCGTTGCCTGTAAAGCATAAAGTAATTTAGGCATTTTGTTTGGAAGAATAGCAGGAGAAATGCCTAAAATCAATTATACCGATAATATTACATCAAAATTGTATGTACAGGAAGATGCAAGTATGTTTTAAGACAAAGTTATTCTGTGGTTCTTTTTGAAAATCTTTAATATTAATTTTCAACTTCCTGGGGGACCCCCAAAGTTAAACTGATCTTCATGGCTGTAAGAGCATTAAATGAACCAAGGAGAATGGACCTTTCTCTGATTGATCTTTTCAATCCTAATAACTTTTGACCAAGTTACGTTACTTCGAAAACCTTTGAATTTTTCTCTATAACAGCATGGTTCTAACTCAATGAAACAAGAAACTCTTCTTATTCAAACCCCTTTTTAAACTAGAGGGGGAATTATTATTAAATAAAACGTACTGGGCAGTGATTCTTTGAATGGGGAGAGCCTCCTTAAGCACATCATAGTACACATCTTAATATTTACTGTATTTTACTGTTCAATCTTATTTCATATCAGTCATTTTGCATTTCAGGAAGTTACTTTCTGGAAGATTATTGCATTTATCAAGCAATTAAGGTCACAGCCACCCTATTTCAGTTTTATATGTTATAACACAATTTTTAGCTTATGCTTCACAATGTAGTGTCCGTCTTCTTGTATTGAATAATGTAATTTTACTGAAACTAGAGCACTCCTGCCTGGCCAGAGTCTGTCTGCATTCAAACTGTTGGGCTCTGGGAGGTGGATAGGTCACTGCTGAAGAACTAAAGAAGGAGGGCTTAGAAACTTCACTCTGAAAAGTTCAAGCCCTTGTCGAAGTAGAAGGCTTTATTGTAGTTTATTTCTGAGACTCTGACAGTTTGAACTTGCTATGCAAGTTAACTTCCAACTGCTAAAAGTAAACAAAATATGATAAGCACCAAAAATTACTGAACAAATTAATTTCTGTGCTTCAGTTCCTTTTCAGTAACATAAAAACAATACAAAGACACTGAAAGTATTTTGAAAATTAATTAATAGTTGTGAAGAACTGTGTAATGTCAGTAATAAACACTTATGAAAATGGAAGCCAAGGGGGAAACTGACTGTACTGTCTTCAAAGTAGGGCTTTGACAGAGTACAATAAATGCAGAGAAATAAATTAATGAGGCAAAAGCAAAATAGTGAGTAGATGCTGATTAAGAGTAGTGCCAACCTTGTGTGGAATTAGCTGGGATGCAGGAGGGTAAATGTTATGTAGAATTTATCATACACACACAAGTGAGATGGAACAGATGGAATTTGCCTAGGCAACCTTAATTTCAGCATTTCCAGTTTTACGGAAGTTTGACACTGTATTTTTTCACTCCCCCCCCCCCCGTTTTATTATGAGTATTATTTTGTGCCTGACAGTTACACACATTCCACAGAAACAGATAAAACAACATATTGAATTTGCCTTTTCAGTTAGAAAATGTGTTTGTATCCAAATCAATAAATCAGTACCTATTCTTGTTGAATATTTATTCACTGCCAAAAATATAGCATGGTTGTTGTCTTTTCTCGGCTTATTGTTTCCTATTATGATTTTATAGGCTATTACCATAGCATATATAGAAAAATAGAATTGCTGAAATATAGGATTAATGGGTATTAATGCAGTTTGCACATTCAAAAGCAAAGTCTAATTTCTTTACTTCCTTTTCAAAAATAGACACCATTGTCTCATATTGCACTCTTTGTTAGAAAGCCTGCAAATGTCTGGGGTTTTATATGTGAAATTATTTTTATAGACATCTCATATCTTGATTTAAGAAAAATATTTTAAAATATAGCATCTCTTCTTTAAGAAGCATTTTTTGATAATTCAGCTGTCATAGTGTACTGGTTTTGGCTGGGGTAGACTTAATTTTCTTCTTAGTAGCTGGTACAGGGCTGTGTTTTGGATTTGTGCTGAAAATAGTGTTGATAACACAGGCCTGTTTTAGTTATTGCTAAGCAGGGCTTAAATGAAGTCAAGACCTTTTCTGCTCCTCACACTGCCCAACCAGCGAGTGGGCTGTGGGTTTACAAGAAGCTGGGTGGGGGACACAGCAGGGACAGCTGACCCCAACTGATCCAAGGGATATTCCATGCCATGTGATGTCATGCTCAGCATATAGACCTGGGAGAAGAAGAAAAAAGGGGGGGACATTTGGAGTGATGGTGTTTGTCTTCCCAAGTTACCATTACACATGATGGACCCTTTCCTGGAGGTAGTCGAGCACCTGCCTGCCCATAGGAAGCAGTGAATGAATTCCTGGTTCTGCTTTGCTTGTGTGTGTGGCTTTTGCTGTACCTATTACACTATTTCCTGGAGGTAGTCGAGCACCTGCCTGCCCATAGGAAGCAGTGAATGAATTCCTGGTTCTGCTTTGCTTGTGTGTGTGGCTTTTGCTGTACCTATTAAACTGCCTTTATCTCAACCCATGTATTTTCTCACTTTTACCATTCCTATTCTCTCCCCCATCCCATGGGAGGGAGGGAGCGAGTGGCTGCGTGGTGCTTAGTTGCCAGCCGGGATGAAACCATGAGGTGTAGTTTGAATACAAATAGCACTTTTTCTAATGAAAAGGCAGTTCTTGGCTTTACGTAATCAGTTACAAGTTTTGCTAAACATTTGCTAAACTGTTACAGAGTCTGCAAATTTCTCTTGGTGCCATATTACTTTAACAAGTAAATTTTATATTATGGGTAGCCTTAGGAGTAGCTTTTATATTCCATATTTTCTCTGCTTGGTAAAATTTGTATTTATTTTCTTATTCTGGTAGATTCTGTGGTTGTAGTCATAGGTATCTAGGCTTTTAGTCCTATAACTGCCATGTGAAGGCACGATTCCCAAAAGTAAGTTCTTTGCAAACCTGTCATAGTGTGGATAGTTATCTATCACTACACCCTTGTTGTGTTTGGGAAGTAATACTAGCTGAATTACATTTAATTCTTTTTGTTGTCTTAAAGAATTTGCATTTTCATAGCCTAGCTTCAGATGTGGATGCAGTGGTGTCAATCAAATATCTGCCCTACTGGCATTGTTTTTTGTTTCATAAAGGGAATAGCTATAGTGCTATAGTGGCTTTGCTGTCTTTTTAAGTATAATGTTGTTTAATTCAGTGTCCTCTTCCAGCTTCAGCTGTAGCAGTTGGGGACACAGTTATCCAGCTGTTTATGGCTGCCTGGCAAGTGGGGGTTATTTGTTTCCCAATTCAACCAGCAGAGCAGAAATGCAAGTTCTCGCTGTTCTGCTACACTAGAGTCAGCAATAGCTTAAAAATATTTAATCAGCAATTAGGTTAAATTTGCTAATTTTGCACTTAGGTGGATCAAGCTGAACTCCACTGGCTCTACAGTGAGGAATTATCTTTTGTCAGGAATACAGTAACAAGCATCCAGGGATAAAAAGTCTTGAATTTCTATCTGTGCAAAATGATCCTGTCTCCTAAGTATTGAGCAGGTTTCATTGTTTTTCCTGTTAGAATACAGCTAGAGCCTTATTATGCCACTTTTCTATGCTTATAATTTATTGAACATTGAATCATTTGGTTTTCTTGTGTCATTCAGATTTTTACAGCGGTCCCTTTCCTATTTCTATTCGGATAAATTAAGAAAACAGAAATAACCCTCAGCATTGTTGAAGTTATTCTTTTGACCAGGAACATGCCCTTAGTTGTGATGAACAACTATTTACTAATAGAAAACCCTATTTCTTACTTCCTATATGATATTTTCCTATGTATTTTAATTACTGGAAAAAAGCAAAAACAGTTGACACTACAATGGCATAATATTTTTTTTCTAACATTTCACTGCAAAAAATAATAGATTTCTTTACCAAATGTTATGTATATTTTTAGAGATAATGAACCAATTGTTTTACTTAACAGTTGTAATTGACTATGTAACTTCACCTCTATGGTAGAGGAATACTTATGATCTACATCTGTAACCTTGCATTAGGTGCAGCCACAGAATAATGTTCACCATCAGGCTGCACAGTTAAACATCTCAATCCCAGGTGAAGCTTTGCCTTAAATTCCCCCTGTATCTAGCTCTTATTCAAGATCATCACAAGAGCTGGGAACAGTGTGACAGCATTATATTTAGGTATTAGGCCAGCTACTGTGTTCTTTTGAGCTTGTTCTGGATGAGGTTATTTCCTAAAGTGAATATATATATATATTATTGATTGTAGGATGGAATGGGAAATTTGAGAGTCACTAAAAAAGGAATACGACTTGAAGGAATATCTGAATTTCTACTTCCACTATACGTGAAAGAAATCCATTCCCGAAAGGTAGGTGTTTTTCATCTTTTTTTTTCTTAATTTACAGCTAATATAAATTAATCTCTTCAGTCTCAAACTACAAAGTTTAATTCTTACACCTCCTAAATTAGCAATCAGTAAAGGTTTGCTTTGAGAATACCTTAACAGTGAAATCTTCCTTCATGTCAAAAATGATTTTTTTTTAATTTTTTTTTTTCTGAAACCTTACTTGTCTCTTAAAAGAAATGTCTTATCTTAAAGAAGGGAGATTCAAAGCATATATATTTTATACTTCAAATGACTTCAGTACTGGGAATGGAACATTTGACTCTTTATTCAGTGAGAACTCCAGAAAAACAAGATTAGTGAAATGCACAAAGTAGTTAAATAAGGAATAGTTTTGTATTTGGTTAAGTTCTTCCTGGTATTAGCTAGAATGATTTCTTTTTTTTTTCTTTCTTACCTTTTTTTTTTTTCCTCATAAGTACAGGAAAATTTGCAATTTTTGTGTCTAGGACTTAATTTTTCAAAGCAAACTATTTTGAGTTTTGCTTAAATGTTATTCTTTTATCATATAGCAGCAGGTTGTTACAGAGGAAAAAAGAAAGTAAAAATTCTTTATTCAGAAATTCAGTGTAGCTCATTTTAACTCATTTGTTTTGATCGTGTCATGCTGTTTATACTGACATCATCAGTGAATTTAAAAAATAATTTTGAAATACTGGAAATATCTTAAAATTCTTTTCACCACGCAAATGGTGACCTATGATCAGAGAAGAACATTACACTGGTTTTAATAATTTTGAAATACTGGAAATATCTTAAATTCTTTTCACCATGCAAATGATGACCTATGATCAGAGAGGAACATTACAGTGGTTTCCAGTCGGTCATCTGCAAAGAATATGCATACTGCAAAAGTTAAGAGGAATGAAAAGTATCTTTGCCCTAAATGTTTTTGTGGAAAATTCTGTCTGTTGGAATCTGTCTTCTGTGTATATTTATAAAGGGTCTCAAGTCCATTCATAAATGAGATCATGATGGTTCCCCCATTTCTCTTAATTAGCCTACTTTTCTGTTAATAAATATGTGAGGTAGTCTCCTTGTCCTCTCTTTCTGTAAAACTAAGATCTTTGAATGTCTAACAGAGTAGCGATATTGTGCTAGGTAATGAAAGATTCTGTAATATTTATGTAACATTATATTCCCAAACAATGTTGAATTTTGAGGACTTGTCGAACAGATATTCTTATACTTTTCAATTCACCATACATACAATTTGTTACAAAATCTTGTTCGTAATGTTTCTTTTCTAATAATAGCTATAAATATTAAGAGCTAAGATAAATATACAATCAAACATTTGGTAATAAATTATTTCTAAATAAATGCAAATATCATAGCTTTGATGTTGATCAGAATTTTGAGGAGGGGGGAACAGCAGAACAGTTAATACGTAAGTACACAAATGACCATTTAAATACCAGTCACTGCTACCAAAAGTAAATCAATAAGACTAGATTCTGGCTTTTAAAATTGGAAAGACATCTACAAAAGGCAACTTTGGCTATAGGGTGTGGGGTTTTCTTTTAAAATTGGAAAGACATCTACAAAAGGTAACTTTGGCTATACGGTGTGGGCTTTTCTTTTGCTATACCACCTTGCCATGGAAAGGTGTGAGCACCTCTACAGTACCTTCTGTAATCCTCTAATATTCCCTTTATAATTTTGAAACTCTAGAATTCATTAAATCAACTAGAATACTTTGTCTTTTATCTATATCTTATTTTCAGGGTTATGTTAGACCTTAATATCTAGTATAACAACTCCCTTTAAAATCATGCCTAAATCATGGACCTCTTTAGTATGAAAATTTTAATATGTAAACTTTATGAAATTGGTAAAATTTTCAGGCTGTAAAACCTTTCAGGGAGCATACTTTTTCTTAGAGGTTGCAGAATATTAGTCATACGTGGTTTGTGTATTTTTCTGAGTTCCTTTCTGTGGGTGGTTGGTGTCTATTATTTTTCCATGTCCTGTTACTGTACATCAGAGTTATGATTTGGGATATTTGCTTGCACAGGGTTTTGTATTGTAAAACATTGGTTCTATTAAAGTAAACATGGAAACTTTTGTTTCAAGTGAGAGTAACCCAACAAGGGTCCTAATTTCACTCAGAGCTGCTAACCAATCTAAGAAAATATGCACACAAATGTAAATACTGTAAAGGAACAGGATGCAAAGTCTACCAGTAGCCTAACACAATGTCACATCAGTCCTGTGAAGCTCACGAGAAACAGATGGACCTGTCAGTAAGTGCCCTCAAACCAGCAGAAGAAAAAAGATAGAGTTGATCATTAGCTGGACAAAGTATTTAAACTATAATACTTTTGGTGTTGCAGGTCTACTTATATCTATTAACATTAAAACTCTTGTTACCTAGCTAAAAATATTGTATGTACATAGTCTTAGTTCTCATCTTGCAGTGCTCGTGACCTAGCTGCACGTTCCAGTCTTTTGCCAACTTGCTCAGTAAGTTGTGCTAAAGTTTCGGTAACTTGTGGTGTATGCAAAGGTTAATATCATGAGAGAATGATGAAAAAACCCTCTGGAGCTGTGTTAAGCATTACAGTAGGGATTTGTGATGTCTCTGCATGGTGTTTCCCCCAGCCATGAGAGAATGATGAAAAAACCCTCTGGAGTTGTGTTAAGCTTTACAGTAGGGATTTGTGATGTCTCTGCGTGGTGTTTCCCCCAGCGTGTGGCATCTTCATGTGACATTAGCTGTTTCGTCACTTGCAGAATTGACCTTGGTGCTGTAGAAATCTAAGAGTGAGCTAGGTTTCGTGTTTCCCCCAGCGTGTGGCATCTTCATGTGACATTAGCTGTTTCGTCACTTGCAGAATTGACCTTGGTGCTGTAGAAATCTAAGAGTGAGCTAGGTTTTCTGGGCTCTCATTAGAGTCAGTAGACACTTAGTCAATACAGGTGGTGGGTTCTGAAGAGTTATCCTGGCCACTGGCACTTTGTGTTTGCTTTGGGTCATATAGAGGGGAATGCTTTTTCCTGCCTTTTCCATGGAAGCAGCAATAATTTCAGTTTGATGCATATGAGAGTTAAAACATACCATGGAACCAAAAACTCATTTGAAGGTTGTCTTTGCAGTCTTTTACATGCATATGTCGTTTATTTATTTTCTGAAAGGAGAGTTTGCTCTTTAAGCAAATTTAATTATTCCCTTCTAAAAGAACAGAGGTGTTAAAGTGATGTCGTTTGATTAACTCATGAGGCGACTTGTAACATACACAGTAATAGCTTTGTGGAATGGCTGTATTTCCAATGCACTGGCAATATGGTTTGTAGAATGGCCTCTGGGGGACCTCCATGGAGGCTCTCAGCCCTGCAGGTCAAGGCATTGCTGCTTTCCAATTACTCAGCGCAAAACAGAGTTGGGAAGACCAGAGGGGGGAAAAAAATGATAGGTCTTCAGCAGGGTTCAGCAGCAGCAGGTGTGCTATGTTATGGCTAAGAGGCATGAGTTGAGCTCTTGCCCTTAGGCTGGAACTATCTTTTGGATAGCTAGATCTGGAGCTGATAAAATGTGTCTATTGATAGCACAGGGTTCACCTCTGATTCTGATAGTGAAGTACTTCTGATAAGAGTCCCGGACAGTCTGTGAGTAGCTAAACTGAACTGAGCTCTGCGCCACTGTGATTTAAATGTGAAGGGTGGGTGGGTTCACATATGCTTATGGATGCTGAAATCACCATTTTTGCCTGCAGCATGCCTGGATCCCCAAATAAGGTAATTTACGCAGGCTTAAATGCAGACCTTAGACTGTCTTTTTCATAAGAGATGTATTGAACTTTGTGTATAGGTTGAAATATTGCCTTTTATCTTGTGATTGCTCCATTAAAACCCTGAATATTAACAGTAAATGCTAAAATGCTTTAAGTCCGTTGGAGAACAAATGTGCATGAATTCTTAAAAACAAAACAAAACTTCTAGTGATATTTTCTCCTGCCAGTGTACAGTTTTCCATCAAAAAGTAGTAGTGAAAAATTCAGGTCTTGGGTAAACTGCATATTCATTCCTGCTTTGTCTGTAGAGCTTGTGTAAGTGAGAAGGCTGCTGAGATGGTGCTGTTTTCCTAACTTTGCAGGTCTTGGGTAAACTGCATATTCATTCCTGTTTAGTCTGTAGAGCTTGTGAAAGTAAGAGGGCTGCTGAGATGGTGCTGTTTTCCTAGCTTTGCTCTTCTTGCTCTGTCCTATCCACTTTGTTCAGTTAGTGGTATCCATAGAACCAGGGGTTCCTGCCTGAAATCTTATGTTTACACAAAAAAGTTACCTCTGTATTTTCATCAAATGACTTAACTGCACGTCAAATCTTGAACTGATGCATCAGAACCTGAGCAGACAAGGACTCATTTGATCCTGAACTGACATCTTGATATCCCTGAAAGAAGGGTACACATACTCTATGAATTGAATTTTACTGAGAATTTCATTTTGACTATGGTTAGACTTGTTGTATACTTTTAGTCTAAATATAGACTACTAGCCTGAAACCAGCAAGTTTGATCTAGACAACATTGTATTTTCCATGTTTATATCACACTGATACGATGCGAAGAAACCATGCAAACCACATTCTTTGTAATGTGTCATTAATGAGATGCTTGAAATCAAATAACACATAATTGAATAACATGAATTATTACAATATTTCAGTTCTTCTGAATTAAATTTCTTTATCAACCTACTACTGCATCCATACTACTGCATTTGTGAATGGAAAAAAATCAAGGTACAGGTTTATTAGTTTCTCATATAACAACAAAAGCAGTTCATGGTGTTTTCTTAAGAATGTATACTTGGTTTTATTGATCTTTTTCATTTGTACTTTCATACGGTACTTAAGGGCTGAAGAAAATCAAGTTTTCTCTTTGTTAAATTGTTTCCATTGCAGATAAAATAAGTAGCTTGTTGTCCCTTAAACTAGGGAGAATTGCTTTGTGTTTTCTGTGC